CATTAAAGGAAAATCAAATCTACATTATTAATAAGTTCAGAAACAAACCGAATACTAAGATTTGGATCTAATCCTTGGAAAGTCCTTAAATGGGTATAATATTCTCTAGCCTCTTAAGGATGTTGGCATAGAAATCACTCTCATAGTTTCACAGCAGAGGAGGCTTATGCTTTCAGGATCACCTTTCACCTAGAATGTAGAATTTGCTTTCAGGTTTGTTTGTTTTTGTTTTTGTTTTTTAATTTTTTTTTAACGTTTATTTATTTTTGAGACAGAGAGAGAGCATGAACAGGGGAGGGTCGGAGAAAGAGGGAGACACAGAATCTGAAACAGGCTCCAGGCTCTCAGCTGTCAGCACAGAACCCGACGTGGGGCTCGACCCCACAGACCGCGAGATCATGACCTGAGCCGAAGTCGGACGCTTAACGGACTGAACCACCCAGGTGCCCCAAGTTTATTTGTTTTTTTAAGGTGTTTTTGCCCTGGATCTAGGAGGCTATGAGAGCATATTCTGTCCAGATTGTGCTTTCTTTTTGTGTGTGAATGTGGAGGTGCTATGATTATAAGCAGGACCCTAGAGCCTCATGCCTGCTTCTTTACAGCAGGCCAGACTCTCTTAATTTGCCAGTGTAGAAAGTCATTCTCTATAACATGTGTTTGTTTCCTTTCATCCTCCTAGCTCCAAGCAGGCAGTGCACAGAGCCCAGTGCAGGGCTCAAACTCATGAAATTGTGAAATCATTACCACTGACCACTTCACCAATGGCTGTTCTATAAACTTAGCACTTTGATTTCTCTTCAAAGTAAAGCCCCATTAGGAATTGTCCCAGTTGAATATTCCAGACCAGCTATGGGGTTTTAAATCTTAACAGCTAAAAAAAAAAAAAAAAAGAAAAGAAAAGAAAACATAATTGAGCAAAGAAAAACAGGTGTGCTGTCATCAGAGCTTCAGATGTAATGGAAAATGAAGATAATGTGTCAGCTTCCCATGGCTTACCATTGCTGTGGTTTCTGTCTGGGAAGGTAATGTACTTATTGATTAGTCCTCAAGAGAGACATCATTTGCAAACTGACCCTTGGCTTTTGGCAGCAGACAACACTTGTGTTAGCTTCAATAACCAGATGAACAGATCCTGTTGCTGGGAAGGCATGGGAAGCTGTTGCCTTGACAACAGCACGCAAGTCTCTGGTTTCATCTGTAAATTCCCTGACAAGACACTGATTACTTATCAGTCTTATATATGAACTTGGGTTTTACTTAGAAGGCAAGAAATGTTAACCTATAACTCAATTACTGAAAATTTGTCAGTACCAGAAAATTTTACCTAGATTCAGGCTGCAAATACATAAAACAAGCTTAAAGACATGAAATGCCATGATAATTTAGAATGTTAGGTTTAAAACTTGATTATTGGTGGGGGGCGCCTGGGTGACTCAGTCGGTTGAGCGTCTGACTTAGGCTCAGGTCATGATCTCGCAGTCTGTGAGTTCGAGCCCTGCATCAGGCTCTGTGCTGACAGCTCAGAGCCTGGAGCCTGCTTCGGATTGTGTGTCTCCCTCTCTCTCTGCCCCTCCCCTGCTCTATCTCTGTCTCTGTCTCTGTCCCTGTCTCTGTCTCTGTCTCTCTCTCAAAAATAAATAAATATTTAAAAAAATTTATAAAAGAGGCGCCTGGGTGGCTCAGATGGTTAAGCATCTGACTTCAGCTCAGGTCATGATCTCACAGCTTGTGGGTTCGAGCCCCATGTCAGGCTCTGCGCTGACAGCTCAGAGCCTGGAACGTGCTTTGGACTCTGGGTCTCCTTCTCTTTCTACCCCTCCTCCCACTCGCACTCTCTCTTTCAAAATAAATAAACTTAATTAAAAAAAAATTTTTAATTTATTATGAAAACTTGATTCTTGGGGGCAAAGCATTCTATTTTAATAATAAAGTACTTTTACTATGAAAGAATTGTATATGTGTAAAAATTACGTATTCTGTCTTAAGATAGGAATAAGGAAAACAGATTCAGTTCCATCATTAGAGATCCCTTAAGGCTATATCCCTGTACCTAATTACTGTGATATACCTGTTGGATCAGGGTTAGGACTCGGAGAAGAGCTTCAAGCCAGGGCAAGGCAGGGTTTGAATGTTGGGAAGGGTTTCTGATACTCTTGTGATCCCATCCATGAAGCAAGTAGACACTTGAAAAGTACTTGTGCATTAGGGCTTGCTTTCTCTTACAAATCCTGGAAGAGCAACCACCCTATGAAGAAGCTCAAGTGAACTTCCTGGAAGAGGGGACACATGTGGCCTAATCTTTCCTGTTGCGTCAGCTGAGTGTAGCATTGGTGGTATAGTGGTGAGCACAGCTGCCATCCTGTTGCCTCAGCTGATACCCAGCTAACCACTAGTCACCAGAGAGTCCATCCCAGATTATCCAGCGATCAGTCAACCTGCCAGCCGCCTGCCAGTTTTACACACATCAGTGAGTAAAATCAGCTGAGTTGAGTCATGACAGGGGAACATGATCAGATCATCAGATGTGTGCAAGTGTAAGACAAAACAGAAATTCTCTCCTGTCAGGTTTATACTGGATGATGCAGTATATATGATTAAAAATGCACCAGGCTTTTTTTCTTTTATGACTGGAATCATTTGCGGTAGAATTTATCAGAATTCCGGAGCTTCTAGGGCACAAACTATAGCAGTACAATAAACAGAAGTGAGGGAAGACATGTGTATATAGCTGCTCTAAATAGCCCTCACTGATATAGTGAGGGTAGCATAAAATTCATAATCTGCCACTACAGGGAAGACATTGAGGACAATTGGTAACTACAGGTGATCAACTCAAAGTGTACTGAGTTTTGCACTTTGAGATGTAAGATTTAACACTATCATTGTTCAAGATAATTTGAAGTATCCTGAAATCTTATAAGTCATACATGAAATGCAGTGGAGGGGTTCCCAAATTTGACAAGTGTGTCCACTTTGTATGACATTACAAAAATGCTGTAAAACTTAAATAGATCTTTTTAAGTTATCAAAACAAAGCAAATTTGGATCATGGAAGAGGAAACAACAGATTGATTTCAAGATTACAAAATCTCTCTAATGCTGTTGTCTTACAAAGAGGACATCAAAGAAAATGTCTCCCCAAAAATAGGAGCAAGAAATACCATAAAGATATGTCAAGCAGGAAATAAAACAAAAATATTGTTGATTTGTGGATATGTGTCAGCTTTTCAAAATTCATGGTTTGGTGTGAGTTTTTGTCTCATTCTAATTAAATATTCACATTTGCACTTAATTTTACATTTGTACTCTTGTATTTTTTTCTTAAAGGGAACTCTCAAAATCGTATAAGCTTTGAAGTCATTCCAAACCTAAACCTGGATCAGCCCATGGTCAGATTTCAAGGTTAGTTTCATGGGAATCATTTGACATAGTATCAACACTATCATCAAGGATTTCCTTCCTTCCATCTCTCTACTCTGACATCTATGTTGTTTGCATCATCTTTTTTTTTTTAATTTTTATTATTTATTTTAAGAGAGTGTGCGAGCAGGCAAGGGGCAGAGAGAGAGAGAGAAAGAGAGAGAAAATCCCAAGCAGGCTCCACATCCTCAGTGCAGAGCATGACATGGGGCTCGATCCCATGAACTGTGAGATCATGACCTGAGCTGACATCAAGAGTCAGATGCTCAACTGACTGAGCCACCCCCGTGCCCTATGGTGTTAGCATCATCTTGATTCTGGCTTCCTTCACTGTGACCAAATGACTGTAGTAGTTCTAATTTCCCATCTGTATTCCACTTCATCCAGGAAAGTGACAGACTTCATTGTTCTCTCAAAAAAACGAGACACCTTAAAGCAGAAGTCCCTAGTTATTAGCCTGGATTGGTCACCTGCCCTTTCCTGAACCACTGATTGACTTAGGCTTGGATTACCTGAACAAGAAACTCTCTGTATCAAGGAGAGGGAATTATTGGAAGGGGTCATTCCCCAAGTTTCCTGACTGGTGCACGGTGAAGGTGAAAAGGATGTTGGAGAGACAAATACAATGTCCAGAGGAAGGAAGATATGAGAAGAGTGAAATGGTTACTCATTGGCTTCACAGCCATCTCCCTAGAACACACCATGAACTCGATTCTATGTTACATGTCAGATGAGGGAAACAAGATGAATAAGAACTAGATACTTCCCAGCCTGTCCTCATGAGACAGGTTCTTCATTTTAAAAGACCATTTGAGGGACACCTGGGTGGCTCAGTTGGTTGAGCATCTGACTCTTGATTTTTGCTTAGGTCATGATTTCACAATTTCATGAGTTTGAGCCCTGCACTGGGCTCTGTGCACTGCCTGCTTGGAGCCTGCTTAGGATTCTCCCTTTCTCTCTGTCTCTCTGCCCCTCCCCCACTCATGATCTCTCTGTCTCTCTCAAAATAAATAAACTTAAAAAAATAAAAATAAATAAAAGACCATTTGAGGTTTGGGATGTTTGATTTTGATACTACTATAAAGTGATGTTAGAAATTACAACAACAGGGGCACCTGGGTGGCGCAGTCGGTTAAGCGTCCGACTTCAGCCAGGTCACGATCTTGCCGTCCATGAGTTCGAGCCCCGCGTCAGGCTCTGGGCTGATGGCTCGGAGCCTGGAGCCTGTTTCCGATTCTGTGTCTCCCTCTCTCTCTGCCCCTCGCCCGTTCATGCTTTGTCTCTCTCTGTCCCAAAAATAAATTAAAACGTTGAGAAAAAAAAAAAAAAGAAATTACAACAACAAAAAAACCAACCAACCAACAAACAAACAAACAAAAGAGGTTAGAGTGGGAGAGAGCCAAAGCATAAGAGACTCTTAAAAACTGAGAACAAACTGAGGGTTGATGGGGGGTGGGAGGGAGGGGAGGGTAGGTGATGGGTATTGAGGAGGGCACCTTTTGGGATGAGCACTGGGTGTTGTATTGAAACCAATTTGACAATAAATTTCATATATTGAAAAAAAAAGAAACTACAACAAATTTCACTTTTAAGTCTCTGTTTAATAAATAAACAATACATGCTTACTGCATACTCATCATGGAGAGGAATGCAAAATGCAGTTTCTGACTACAATTGAGTTTCTATAAAAGAAACTACTAAGCTTCTAGACCAGTTAATATTTTCTCTATTCAATGTATGAAAAAAACTCTGGTTTTGATCTTTTTAGTACATTACTGGCTGGGTAGATTATTATTATTATTATTATTTTTTTCAGAGAACGGGGCAGAGGGAGAGAGAAGCCCAAGCAGGCTCCACGCTCAATGTAGAACTTCATGCAAAGCTGGATCCCGTGACCCCAGGATCATGACCTGAGCCAAACCAAGAGTCGGATGCTCAACTGACAGTCACCTAGGCACATCATGGGTAGATGATTTGGATAGAGTATGGGACTAAGCAACAGGAGACCTGGCTTCTAGTCCTGTCACTACTAGTAGAATGACCTCCTCCAAGCCACCATCCTGCAATCTGCAAAATAAGGGAATGAGATCAGATACATTATTTTTTCATTGGTAATTATAGAAGTGATAAATGCATATATTCTTCATATCAATTTTTAATATTACACGCATAAGTTTGAAGTCCCCTTTGAATTTCCTCATTTTCTCCGTCCCAGTTCTCTTTTCGTCTCTCCATTATTATCTCTTTGGTATATCTCCCTCCAAAATTCTTTCCTCACATTTATATAAATTCCCTACCAGGTTTAATATTTTACATATAAAAAACAAGCAGCCTTTGTGCTTAGCCTTTTATGCAAAAAATAAGAGTTTAACTTGTGTTTAAATGTATGTTTCCAGATGGGAACATTTTCATTTCTAGGCCCTAGTGAATGTTTAAGAAGCAATGTTGCATCTAAAAGCAAAACACTTTTTAAAATGCAAAACTCACAATATCTGCTATAAGGAACTCACAAAATATATATGTTAATATAAAGGAGAAATGTTAACATGAATGAAATTTTAAACCCTTAGTTGTGTAAAAGTTTAGGAAAAAGGGAACTTCTAGAAATAGATACCATGTCATTTATTTTATTTTATTTTATTTTACTTTATTTTATTATTTTAGTTTAGTTTACTTATTTATTTCTAGTAAAAGTGGGGAAGGATCAGAGAGAGAGAGAGAATCCCAAGCAAGCTCCATGCTGTCAGTGCAGAGTCTGACACAGGGCTCAGTCCCACGAACCACAAGATCATAACCTGAGCTGAATCAAGAGTCAGCTGCTTAACCAACAAAGCCACCCAGGTGCCCCACTATGTCATTTTATTATTAGGAATTATTTTTACCACCCCCATTATTAACTCAATTAATAGCCTAATTAGTCTGAAGCACACACTGCCCACTGAACTTTTACTGTATACAGCAAGCTATATCTAGAACTGCTTTTTAGATAAATTAACAATGCCATTTCCTAAAGTTTTCCAGTCTCTGGGACCAATAGGCCTTTGTGTTAATTTTCTGTGTCAACTTGATTGGGTCAGTGTCCAGATATGTAGTCAAACATTATTCTGGATGTTTCTGTGAGAGTTATTTTGGATGAAATTAAGATTTAAACTGGTGAGACGTCTCAGTGGCTCAGTTGGCTAGGCGTCCAACTTTGGCTCAGATCATGATCTCGTGTTTCTTGAGCTTGGACCCCGCAGAGGGCTCTGTGCTGACAGCCAAAGCCTGGAGCCTGCTTTGGATTCTATGTCTCCCTCTCTCTCTGTCCCTCCCCTGCTCACACTCTGTCTCTCTCTCTCTCTCAAAAATAAATAAAGATTAAAAAAAAATAAAGATTTAAAATGATGGATGTTGTGTAAAGCAGATTACTCTCCATAATGTGGGTGAGTCTCATCCAAACAGTTGAAGGCCTGGATACAACAAAAGACTGACCTCATCTGAGCAAGAGGGAATTATTCAATGGATAGCCTTCGGATATGGACTGCAATTTCTGCTTATCACCTGGGTCTCCAGCCTGCTGGCCCACCCTGCAGATTTTGGACTTTCCAGACTCCGTAATCATGTGAGCCAATTCCTTACATTCAATCAATCAATCAACCAATGTCATTGGTTCTGTTTCTTTGGAGAACCCTAATACAGCTCCTTCCCTCTTCCACCCTCTCTATATAATTTGTATATAATACAATTCACCATTTTATTTAATTTTTATTTTTATTTTATTTTATTTTATTTTATTTTATTTATTTTTGGTAGAGAGAGAGAGAGAGTGAGCATGTGTGCGTACACATGCCCACAGCAGGGGAGGGGCAGAGAGAGAGAGAGAGAGAGAGAGGATCTTAAGCAGTCTCCATGCCCAGTGGGGAGCCTGCAGCAGGGCTTGATCTCATGACCTTGAGATCATGACCTGAGCTGAAATCAAGAGTCAGACACTTAAATGACTAGGCCACCCAGGTGACCCTAATTCACCCATTTAAAGTGTACAATTAAATAATTTTTAGTGTATTCACAGAACTGTGCAACCATCACCATAATCAATTTTAGAACATGTTCAACACCCTTTAAAGGAACTCCATACACATTAGCACTCACTTTCCATTTACCTCTTCCTTCCCCAGTCCTAAGCAACCACTAATCTAGCTTTTATATCAATAGCTTTACCCATTCTTGACATTTCATATAAATAGAATCATACAACATGTGGCCTCTAGTTCACTTCTAGTGGCTTCTTTCCTCATTCATTATGTTTTCAAGATTTGTCTATGTTGATGCACATGTCAATACTGCATTCCTTTCATTGCTCAATAATATTTCATGGATGCCTATATTGTATTTTATTTATACATTCATTAGTTGATACACATTTGGATTATTTCCATTTTGGGGTTATTATGAGGTTACTATAATACTGCTATGAACATTCATATACAAGTTTTATATGGACATATGTTTTCATTTCTTTTGTGTATATATCTAGGATTAGAATTGCTGAGTCATATGGTAACTCTTTATTTAACTTTTTGAGAAACTGTCAGACTGTTTCCAGAAGAGTTACACCATTTTACATTCCCACTAGCAATGTATGAGGGCTCTCATTTCTCCACATTGACACCAATTGTTATTGCTATTGTCTGTCATTTTGATTGAGGCAACCTACTGGGTGTGATCACGGTAGTTTTGATTTTTATTTTCCTGAAGACTAATAACATTGAGCATCTTTCCATGTATTTATTGGCCATCTGTATTTCTTCTCTGGAGAAACAGCTATTCAGATATTTTGCTCACTTTTTCATCGGGTTATTTGCCTTTCTATTATTGAGTTGTGATAGTTCTTTACATATTCTAAATATAAGTTCCTTATCAGATAAAAAATTTACAAAAATTTTCTCCCTTTCCATAAGTTCTCTTTTCATCTTCTTGGTAGTGTTCTTTGAAACGCAACTTTTCTTTTTTCATGAAGCCCAATGTACTTATTTTTTTTCTGTTGTTGCTTGTGCTTTTGGTGTCATATTTAAAATCCCATTGCTTATTCTAAAGTCACAAATATTCACATTTATATTTTTTAGTATATGTGCTGCCGAAGCGAGCACTCACATTTATATTTTTTATCAGAACTTTATACTTTTAGTTTTGATAACTAAGTCTTTGATCCATTTTGAATTAGTTTTTATATATGGTGTGATATAGGGATCCAGCTTAATTCTTTCATATGTGGACATACAGTTGTCCCAGAACCATTTGTTGAAAAGACTGTTCTTCCCCCAGTGAATTGTTCTGGAAGTGTTTTCAAAAATCAATTGGCCATAAATGTAAGAGTCTATGAAGTCTCAATTCTATTCCATTGATCCATATGTGTTGCTTTTTACCATTACCACATTGTCTAGAGTTAAGTCCAAAAATCAGGAAGTGTGTGTCCTTCAAATTTGGTCTTTTTCAAGACTGATTGGGTCCTAGCATTTCCACATGAACTTCTCTTTTTTAAGTATTTATTAATTAATGTATTTACTTATTAGTAATCTCTACACCCAACAAGGGGCTCAGACTCATTACCCCAAGATCAAGAGTCACATGCTCTTCCAACTGAGCTGGCCAGGTGGCCCTCCACATGAACTTTTAAATCAGCTTCAATTCTCATATTTCTGTAGATTAATTTGTAATGTATCTTAACAATATTAAATCTTCTGATCCATGAACGTGGGATATCTTTCCATTTATTTAGGTCTCCTTTAATTTCCTCCAACAATGTTTTGTAGTTTTCAGAGCATAAGTTTGCATTTATTGATAGTTTGCAATTTTTGTTAAATTTATTCCTAAGTAGTTTATTCTTTTTTATTCTATTTTAAGTTGAACTGCTTTCTTAATTTCATTTTTAGATTCTTAATTGCTAGTGTATAGAAATGTGCTTGATTTTTGTGTATTGATATTATATCCTGCAAACTTGCTGAACTAAAATAGACTTAATAGATTTAATAGTTTTTTAATAGATTCCTTTGGATTTTTCTACATACAATGTTTTATCATCTGTAAATTGAGATTTCTAACTTCTTCCTTTCCAATCTGGATACTTCTCATTTCTTTTTCTTGCCAACTCATCCTGGCTTGAGCCTCCAGGACAATGTTGAATAAAAGTAGTGAGAGCAAACACCCTTGTTTTGTTTATAATTTTAAGGTAAAGCTTTCAGTTTTTCACTGATTAAGTATGATATTAGCTGTGGGGTTTGGTAGACGCCTTTTATTAGGATGAGAAAATTCCCTTCCTGTCCTAGTTTATTGAGTGTTTTTATCATAAAGCCATGTTGGATTTGCCAAGCAAAGAATAGCTTTTGAAAGTAACATGATATTTTATATTCACTTAGATATCACTTAAAATTAGAGTATAGTTTGTAAAGTAACTAGAGTTTTTAAAAAAGAGGTTTCTCTAGAACACAGAGGGCTTACCTCGTGAAGTCTTCACCAATTCTGGAACAGTGTATGTTAAATCACATTGGCCCTGAGAATACATAAAAGAACTAAGTGGAGAAAGATGGTGGCTTGTAGAAGCAAAATATATAATGAAGAAGAGCAGAAGCTAGTGTACTCTGATTCAATGTAAGGTTCATTCTCATGAAACCACTTAACTTACATTTGACTTCAATTTAAATCTTTGTAATGATTTAACTCATATTAGTATTTCAGAATCCTCATCACAAGACATTTTGCTGATTATGACGGAACACTTGCAGGTTCTAAATGTGTGTTTTATTAAGAAGTAAAACATCTTGACCTTTAACTTATCCCCATACGTATTCTAAATTATTCCTAGCACAATTCCTATCTTTTATTAAAATCTGCATATTTTAGTGATCAGTTTTTGAAACACATAACATGGTAACTACAATTATGCCAGTCACATAGCTTGATTCAAGTGGGAGCATCTGGGTGGCTCGGTCAGTTAAGCATCTGACTTCGGCTCAGATCATGATATCACAGTTTGTGAGTTTGAGCCCTGTGTCGGGCTCTGTGCTGACAGCACAGAGCCTGGAGCCCACTTCAAGTTCTGTGTCTCCCTCTCTCTCTGCCCCTCCCCTGTTCACACTCTGTCTCTCACTCTGTCTCAAAAATAAACATTAAAAACAAAGAAACCCCAAAACCTTAGTGGCCTACATGCATATTCATCAACTAGTCACCTTTAGTGTGCAACACATGAATCTTTCCATTTATCCCAAATTTTGTTTTATTTGGGCAGTGGGAGATGTTTATACAAGTTCTTGGGAAAGGGGAAGGTAGGGAACGTCAGGCTAATTAACCTCATATATGATAAAACTGAATCACAATATGTGCTGCTTTGGTTATAGATAAACTTCATCCCTCTCATTACTGTCAATGGGCATATTTTGATGCTGATCATTTACTATCAAGGAATCTATAGTTTGGCAATGGCAAACACAGCAAAATGAAATATCCAAGCAGAATTTAGCTGATTTCCAGTTTCTGAAACTCCATGTGACTCTGGCACAGAGAAATCTTGGCAATCCCTATACTCCTTACACAAATACAACTCATGTTAATTAACAAAGAGACAAAAAGTCACCTATTTGTTTATAACAAAATAAATTACACTATGGCTTATTAAAAATTGCCATTTTGCATAATTCCTTGGCTAATAAGAAAAACCACCATTAAATACCATATTAATTTCCTCATTTTGCTTCTTTTAAGCATTTCATAGATATTCCTCTCACATTGAAAATATAAAATAGAATAGAATAAAATTTCATTACACCACCTAAAATGCCTATATCAATAAATACATGTACAGCAGCCTCTTTCTCAAATGGCCTGTGTAAGACTTTATTTTATTAGCAATAACTAAATAACATGTCATTTAGGATACTTTGAGCACAATGCAATAGAAAAGAACTAGTGCTACCTTTACCAAAAACAAAAAGGAAAGACTTATTATAAGGACACAGGCATCTCATAGAATCTAACGTCAGGAATTCAACCAGGCTCCAGAAAAGAACCAGAAATAAGAAACGAAGAGCCATCAGAATGCAGGTGGTTCTCTCTGGACCTAGTTTATCCTCCTCTTCCTACAGAATAGCCTTCTCTTCTTGATCCGCATGGAAGGAAAACAACAGCCATGCCCAAACTCCTAAATACATATGTATCAGGGCCAGACTGACTCTTTTTCTTTATTCAAATTCCTAGAAAGAAAAATCTTAATGGCCCAAAGTACCCTTCCCTCCACCTGTGGCCTGTGGCCAGAGGTGGGCATCCTGCTGCCTTGCAACCCATCCTTGGGAGCAAGGAAGTATCCAAGGGGTTCTTTGTAAGCTAGGAAGGCATACCAAATAGTGTCTACTACAATGGATAAGACTATGCAAGCCCAATGCCTCTCTCAAATTCAACAAAACAATGTCATCCCTCCTTTCGTGGAATGAAAAGACCAAAGAAGCAGAGAAAAGCCCAAATATTAAAGAAATCAATATCTCTCCACATAGAAATATCAGTCACAGTATAAGAATAAGCTATGCCAGCTTATCCAAAACATATTCAACTGGACAAATTTCAAGCCAAAAAACACCTGCAAAATGAAATGTCCCACCAAATAACATGCATTCGCTCCGCCTCCCTCAATGTTTTGCTTAAATCCTATGGGTTATACAAATAGAGATCAAAGTATTTCATGCTTAAGATAACCAAAGCACTTATGCCTATAATAAAACAATTTGTGCTTACAGCCTGTATTTGGAAAGGGCAAACAACTTATATTTAACTTTAGAGAGTCACTAGATAGTCAATTATGTGTTTTAAGTTTTACTTTCCTCTGAGGGCTGGCTAGTCCACTGTGTAGACATATCAATAAGTGTGGGACAACTTGCATAAAAAAAATCACTTTATTTATTTTTTTAATAACTTTGTTTAAAGTTTATTTATTCATTCTGAGAGAGAGAGAAAAAGAGCATGGGGGGAAGGGCAAAGAGAGAAGAGAGAGAATCCCAAGCAGGCTCTGCGCTGTGCTATTACCGCAGAGCCCTATGTGGGGCTAGAATGCATGAACTGTGAGATCATGACCTGAGCCAAAACCAAGAGTCAGACACCCAACTGATTGAGCCACCCAAGTACCCCCAAAAGTAAATCACCTTAGAAAATCACTTTCAGGGGCGCCTGGGTGGCGCAGTCGGTTAAGCGTCCGACTTCAGCCAGGTCACGATCTCGCGGTCCGCGAGTTCGAGCCCCGCGTCGGGCTCTGGGCTGATGGCTCGGAGCCTGGAGCCTGTTTCCGATTCTGTGTCTCCCTCTCTCTCTGCCCCTCGCCCGTTCATGCTCTGTCTCTCTCTGTCCCAAAAATAAATAAACGTTGAAAAAAAAAATTTAAAAAAAAAAAAATCACTTTCAGATATAAATTCAAAGTTGAGATGCTTTAAAAAAGTTTTAGGTGTAGTTATCACAGATTTTCCCCCTTAGTAATGAATAATTTGCTAGACTGAGTTCTAGGAATACCTGAAACCCAATTTTTTTTTACTAGCAGGTAACAATTCATATTAAGTAGTCTCTCTCTCTAAATATATTCTCCTAGTCTCATCTTTCAACATTATCTGCTAAATTTAACCACAGATGCTTTTTTTCCATAAATGGTCTTAAGCAAAGCTATTCTAAAGAGGGGAAATGAACAATGCAAGATAGAATTAAATCCTGATTTTATTTCTTATTTTTCTCTCTGACACTGGAGAACTTATTTCAGCTTCTTGTTCTGTAAATTTTATACAATTGCAATACCTCACAGTGCTGTCTTAAGAAGAAAATAAAATGTGAAGACTGAGAAAAATTTAAAATTGCCATGATGGTTGGTATTGCTGTTTGTAACATTGCTCTACTTCTAGGAACACAGACATCATTTGCCCTAGACTTGACTTTCAAAATATTCAAAATTCAGGGCCTCAAATAAGTTAATAATATCTGTATTTGTACAATGCTTTATAGTTGATAAATGTTCATTTGATACTTATAAATGCTACATAATGAAGGTGCTACCATATAAGGAGACAGAGGCTCTGAGATGTCAAGTGATTTGCCTGAGTTCACACAACTGGTAATAAATCTAGGATTCAAAGCTGGGATTCAAACCCTATCTTTTGACTCAAGATCCATTATTTTCCCTTTATTGTAGTGGAGCTTATCTGATGTTTTAAAAAGCTTCTGATCCCAGGGGCACCTGGCTGCCTCAGTCAATACAGCACACGACTCTTGATCTCAGGGCTGTGAGTCTGACCCCCATGTTGCAGGTAGAATTTACTTAATAAAAAAGCAAAAAGCTTTTGATCCTATTTCTCATCCTAATTTATAGGACTCATATGGAAGAATCCATTGAAAAGTGTTAGATCAACTTTCCTGGACTGATGAGAGATTCTGATGGCTTCTTTTAACCAGCTAAATTTTCAATCCTTTTAACTACTTCTTTAAATCTTCACTCTACTTATTCATGAACTTATTTATCTATGCATTTACATCTATGAGAACACATAACATGATGTGTTCAATGCCAAAACAGTATAATACATTCTGGATTGATACCAGTTGAGGGAACACAGAATTAAGGGGAGGAACAAATTATGAGTCAGACGATTTTGTGGCACAGTGATTTGGCATGGGTCCAGTAACACATATCTGGGTTCAGATTAGGAGTTCTAAATGTGGACCTCAGTTTCCTTAAGTGTAAAGTGGAGTCCACAATACCTATTTAACATGGTTAAGGTGAAAATTAAATAAACACATGGTGTTGGGGGGAGTGTATAAATATATATTTATTAGTGGTTGACAGAGAAATTGATATAAAATAAGTGCACAATAAATAGAAATTTTATTTTTTTGGTGGGGAAGGTTGTAAATAAGTCAAGTTTAGAAGAGGTATTAAACATGGCTTGATCCCCATTGAGGAGGCTGTGAACACCAGTAAGAAACACTAGTTTCTCAATTTCCAGATGTCAGGTCACAGTATAAGTGCTGATGCTAGTGGACTTTAGACAATAATTCATTCAACCAAGGATGTACAAACAAGCCCAGAAGGGCATTTAAGCAATGTCCCTAAACAGAAAACAAAATTTAGAGTTTTCTCATGAATGGAGACGCTGCATATCACTTTCTAGCTACCACCTGTTCAATGTTTTATTCACCAGTTATGTGTAAGAAGCAGAGCCCATGCACAACAGATGGCAGCCTAATTCTGGCTTCTCTAAAAAGGTTTTCCTCCTACTCATAACAGCCCAAGGATATGTTGATGTGAGTGCTGCAGATGATGAATCCTCAGTACTGAATACTACTTAACAGTGTGACTCAGAGACCAACTGTGTTTCTCCTCATTGGTGATAGCCAAGCACTGAAACACGGTCTAAATTCAGAGTCTGGATCTGAAGACAATTTATGTGCAACTCATTATCCAACTCCAACAAGTTTATGCATATATATAAAGCATAGAAAGATGAAAAAATAATTTTGACCAGACATTAA